CGTCACGTGACCTTTCTTCAATTCAGTTTCGCCCGCTAAATTTAGCGGGGAAAGTGACGTCACGTAACCTGATGTCGCGTGACCTATACGCCAATTTAGTTTCTCTTCTAAACTTAGCGGGAAAATTAACGTCGCGTGACATACAAAACGCATCAGCTTCCCCACTAAATTTGGAGTGGAAAATGGACGTCACGTGACCTGATGTCACTTGGGGTGTTGAATCCGTGGCCTGTGACGTCACATGACCTAACAATGACGTCACATCTTATGACGTTACTTGACCTATGTACCCAATTCAGTTTCTCCGCTAAACTAAGCGGGGAAATTGACGTCACGTGACCTGATATCACGTTACCTATACACCAATTCCACTTCCCCGCTAAATTTAGGGAGAAAATTAAGGTGACACGCGTGCGTTAAATTATCCGACGTAATGCGCCGCGAACGTAGGCGTCTGGGGTATCGCTAAACGTTTCTGATGCAAGGACAATTCATATATCCAGCACAACTGCCTAGTATTTCGACATAATTTTTTTTTAAATTTCCTCTTATTCCGTTTACTTCACTTCATCATTATTCTAACATGCTCGGTCATTGTCATTTTAGATATTACAGGCCCCTTTAGGAAATTCAAGGGCCGATTACTAGAAGGTCGGAGAACCCCTGCACAATGGCGGAACAACTGACGTCGTGAGACGTGCAAGTCATTCCATAAAGGCTCTCTCATAGTAGTGTGTGTGTGTGTGTGTGTGTGTGTGTGTGTTGTAAGTGGAGATTAGCAAACACGGTGTAGGGCGGCGGACACCGATACTGATTGGTCGCAGATATCGAGTTCCTGCTCGCCGGCCCCTGCACAATGGCGGAACAACTGACGTCGTGAGACGTGCAAGTCATTCCATAAAGGCTCTCTCACACACGCGTGTGCGCACACGCGTGTGCGCACACGCGCGTGTGCGCGCGCGCACACGGGCGTGTGCGCACACGTGTGCGCACGCGCGAACGCGCGCGCGTTTGTGCGCGCGTTTGTGCGCGCGTTCGTGCGCGCGTTTGTGCGCGCGTTTGTGCGCGCGTTTGTGCGCGCGTTTGTGCGCGCGTTTGTGCGCGCGTTTGTGCGCGCGTTCGTGCGCGCGTTCGTGCGCGCGTTCGTGCGCGCGTTCGTGCGCGCGTTCGTGCGCGCGTTCGTGCGCGCGTTCGTGCGCGCGTTCGTGCGCGCGTTCGTGCGCGCGTTCGCGCGCGCGTTCTGTGCGCGCGTTCTGTGCGCGCGTTCTGTGCGCGCGTTCTGTGCGCGCGTTCTGTGCGCGCGTTCTGTGCGCGCGTTCTGTGCGCGCGTTCTGTGCGCGCGTTCTGTGCGCGCGTTCTGTGCGCGCGTTCTGTGCGCGCGTTCTGTGCGCGCGTTCTGTGCGCGCGTTCTGTGCGCGCGTTCTGTGCGCGCGTTCGTGCGCGCGTGTGTGTGTGTGTGTGTGTGTGTGTGTGTGTGTGTGTGTGTGTGTGTGTGTGTGTGTGTGTGTGTGTGTGTGTGTTGTAAGTGGAGATTAGCAAACACGGTGTAGGGCGGCGGACACCGATACTGATTGGTCGCAGATATCGAGTTCCTGCTCGCCGGCCGATGGAACGCGCACCTTCTGCGCTACGCTGGGTTCGGTGTGCCCAACGTCAGAGTGGCCAAGGCTAGGAGCCGACGAGCCAATCAAACAGCGTCGAAAGTCCAACGTCACTGCGGTCATCACAATTTTGTGTGGGTGTGTTTGTTCTTCTATACTCCAACCCAGGCACGTAGCCAGGATTTGTTACGGGGGGGGGGGGGGGGGGGGGGGGGGGGGCCGCCCATGACAAAATGCTGTATGAGGGGGAGGGGGGGAGAGGAGGTCCCAGCAAAATGGAAGATTTCGGGGGGGGGGGAGCCCGGGCCCCATGCCCCCCCCCCCCCCCCCCCCTTGGCTACGTGCCTGCTCCAACCAGACGCATAAAGTGTGCCGTTACATTGCGACTTTAGTCCGCCATTGTGCGGAGGTTCCATAGCTGCCGAGAGTGGGCAGTATTTCGAACGAGGTGTATCGTGTGCTTCTCCCCAGCATTGACCTTCGTGGAGACTCGTCACCGCCCTTTCCAGTGGCTCAGTATCTCAGTAAGACGAGAGAAGGTCAGCAATTGCGGTTGTCATCTAGCGCGCGTGTAAAGCGTCTATATTACCGATTTGCACGTCGCACCAACTATCGAGTCACTGGACATCCTACGGGATCCTCGCAACACCGACCGTTCCATAGGAAGATCTCCATGCACTGCACTAACCCGCGGAGCACCCGGATATATCCAATCGGATCGACGTGCGGAGGAAGGTCGGCGAGTCAGGAAGCCGAAAGATATGGTTGCGACCCGAGTACGAACCCCGCAACGCCAGAGTGCGCGTGACGTGAACTCGCGAGAGATCCGTGTCATGCTGGTGCAAAGCTGAATTACGTCGGCGTAAACGTTCGGACCGGCCTCGCCGGTCGCCCACTTCCTTCCAGGGGCGTTAGACTCCCTGTGCGAAAGCGAGCACGTGCACACGTTTAGAGAGCAATAAACTTTAAGAAATGCCTGCGCGTCTACATACCCGCAAAGCACTCGAAGAGCCCATCTTTGCGATCTACGAAATTAGCTCGGCGAATGATGAGGCGCAACATCTGTTTGGTCCTTAAAATGGAGTCTGCGCTGTGGCATTAGAGAATGCAAAGCGTCATGCTCGCATTGCGTGATGCCACAGCCCAGACTTCATTTTTAGGTCTAAGCAGATGTTGCGCCTCGTGATTCGCTTAGCTGATTTCGTAGATCGCAGAGGTTGGCTCTTCGAGTGCTTTGCGGGTAAGTAGACGCGCAGACATCTTTTAGAGTGTAAAGGATGCACTGGTGCTCAACAAGGTTTAAAAAATAACATTATCATAGTTTGTGGAGTGAGAACTTCGCTACATGAGCCGAAAACTAGATGGCACTGGAAGGACGTGCATGCCCTTGTTACACTTTAGCGTAAAGCCGAACAACTGAGCAGAGGTTATGCAAAAGATAGCATGTATGCAAGAAACATGCGGGAATATTTGGGGTGAATTCCATATATTTTAAATAAACAGTTTTCAAGAAAACAAATGTGTGGCATTACGTTCTAAGCAACCCTCTTAATTGATATTTTTTGACTGGAAGTATGTTCAAGCATGGCAGATTGAGTCTTTATTCTGGGAATAACAAAGAAGAAGCCGGCGAACTCGTGAACCTTGAACATATTTAACACACGAGACTAAGAACAAAATGTAGACAACACACTCGAACCTCTGTGTGTTTGTAGTCACCTTTTTGTTCCTAGTCTTTGATGTTCAAGATGCTTCCATCTGCTTCAATCTTCTCGTTCACCGAAAGCAGTGGAAAAAGAATTCTCTACAAATTTAATTATATTCTAGAGTGCACATACGCATTATTTTTTGGTGGAGGAGAGAAACGGAGTGCAGCGGTAGTATTTGCTCGAAGGGCCACCAGTTCTTGCTCGTGTTTAGCCTGATGTCTTTCTTGCTTGGTGATTATTGGGTGGTTTCAATTGAAATCGAACACGCGTGTCGGTGTCGGTATTTTGATTTGCCTCAAATAAATCCACAGGGTGTATTTTTCAAGCTTTACAGATTTGTTTTAAAAAAAGCCGTGAAAGCTACACTTATGCAGGTCAGTTATACGACCAGGGGGACATAGTATAGGGGCTAATCGTAAAGATCAATCGGCTCATTAAGTAAAACTTGTTAATTAACTTTTCAATTAGTGAAAATCGATATATCTTTTCGATTAGAAACTTACTGAGCGCCATCGAAACCACTAAGTCAGTAATTTTCAGAAAGACTTTGAGCGCGTGAGATGCGTAGCAGTGCGCTAAATTTACCACCCGTGAGGCAGGAGCGAGGCTACTGATGCGATAAGGTGCCCGCGTGATCTTTCCTATTTCTCATCATAAACATACGAAAATATGACGGTTCCAGATGATGCTTATAGGTGGAGGTGGGATGGGGATTACAGACTAACAAATTTGTGATTGCCTTCTGGGCATTTTAGATTTTGTGAGGGCGAGCGTTGTCAAGTTGGAGAAAAAATGTCTTTACGATTCCTTCTATGCCGCACATGGCGATAACGTCCACAATTGGCAATTCACTTCCTTTGCTGACTCAAACATCTGAAGCCATTTGTTTACTTGCATTGTGCCAGTTCCCATAAATAAATTCATCGGCGCGCTGCAATATGTCTGGCTTGGTGGCTGCGGCAGGAAGCTCCGACGGTGACCGGTCACCCAACTCCATCTCTCGGCCTTCTGAAGCTTTCATTCTTTTCACCCAGCATCGAACCATGCTCCTATATATTGTAGAACGTTTGTACACAGCAGAGAAACGGTTATGAATTTTTCTGATACCTTTTCTCCGCAACCAGAAACTCAATTACAGCTAGTTGTTTGTGGCGCATGTCAGACACAGACACCATGTTCACGGACTAATGAAACTGTGTTATTTTGCAACGGCCGTAAAATTACACCCATGTGTACTGAAAATATAAATGTTGAAACCTTTAAATTTTTATGTTTTATTTTTTGGGGGGAGAGGCAAAAAAATGTCGGGCATTGCTTTTATGCAATGCTCGATCATTTAAAACTGTTCTTTGCATAATAGTTCATATATAATTTATATAAAATAAGTTTACCCCAAATCACATAAATTTTATAATATGATTTTGACTCGATTAACTTGATTCGTTACGAAAAACCCAAGCTTCCCATGAAGCGTGGGTGTTTCGTATTCAAGAACAGCTTCCATTTGGGGTTTTTCGATTTCCCCCGATTTTGTTAAAACCGGCTGGGGGGTTACGTCGCGGTACTTATCGGTGTTTACCGAAAACACAGAACCCTGATTATGAGCGCTGGAAAGCTGATGAAGGAGTCTTAGGCAAGAATTTTGCTTAAATCGCAGCCTTGATTGGTTGCGTTGATCTCCTGCGCGCAGATTGAGCTGAGGTCCCCCAGCCGCGGCCATGAAGATCGCCATCATCGGCCAGAGTGCCTTCGCCAGCGACGTGTTCAAGCTGCTGCTCCAGAACGGGCACGACATCGTGGCCGTCTTCACCATCCCGGACAAGGCCGGCAGGGAGGACATCCTCGGTAAGCGCGCGAACCGTTATCCGCGTCGAATACGACCGACACCTCCTATACGAAAAGGCCGTAGCGCGGAATCTTTCACGTGAGGAGGCGAACGCTGATTAGACACGAGTGCTACGCAAGCGTTCGGCTCAGACTCGTGTCCTCTCTAATTGGAGACGAGACTCGGCCGAACGATGACGTGACGCTAGTGTCTGATCCGCGTTCGCCTCCTCAGGGTGACGTGGACACTTCGGTGGTTCTTGATACCAGTAGAGTCGATTGTTGGGCTAGTTGGTTCTGGAATTTGGAATACATTTTAGCGCTCAAAAAACAGGGACAAAGAGGCGAGAAACAGACAGCACAGTGCGCTACTAACAACTGATTTTATTACGTGAAACAACACTTTTATACCATCCGAGTTTCTGATTTTGCTCCACCACTAGCCAACCCGGTGCCAGGCCGCGTCATTGAGGAACGCACGCTCCTTGTCCAGTAAATCAATTGAGGCCACGCTGACACATGCTGCACCACCCTTCCTAATCTCATCTGCCTCGATTATCTCCCTCACAGTTTTTTCCTTGTGCCGTGCCAGAATCTTGCTCTCGGAAAACAACGGCATACACTTGCACTTTTCACAATGATCAGACAGATGACCGTCCCGATAATTTCCTACTTTAAGTTTGTGCTCCCTCAGCCTATCATTAACACACCTACCTGTCTGACCTATATACTTGTTTCCGCATGTTAAGGGGATCTGATATACTACTCCCTCCGCACATTCAACGAAGGGATCCCTGTGTTTTACCGCGCAGCCAGAAGGGGCCTTACGAAAAGGATCTGTCATCCTACATAATCTACTAAGTTTGTTTGGTAGATTATTAGAAACTTAGTAGATTATGTTGGATGACAGATCCTTTTCGTAAGGCCCCTTCTGGCTGCGCGGTAAAACACAGGGATCCCTTCGTTGAATGTGCGGAGGGAGTAGTATATCAGATCCCCTTAACATGCGGAAACAAGTATATAGGTCAGACAGGTAGGTGTGTTAATGATAGGCTGAGGGAGCACAAACTTAAAGTAGGAAATTATCGGGACGGTCATCTGTCTGATCATTGTGAAAAGTGCAAGTGTATGCCGTTGTTTTCCGAGAGCAAGATTCTGGCACGGCACAAGGAAAAAACTGTGAGGGAGATAATCGAGGCAGATGAGATTAGGAAGGGTGGTGCAGCATGTGTCAGCGTGGCCTCAATTGATTTACTGGACAAGGAGCGTGCGTTCCTCAATGACGCGGCCTGGCACCGGGTTGGCTAGTGGTGGAGCAAAATCAGAAACTCGGATGGTATAAAAGTGTTGTTTCACGTAATAAAATCAGTTGTTAGTAGCGCACTGTGCTGTCTGTTTCTCGCCTCTTTGTCCCTGTTTTTTGAGCGCTAAAATGTATTCCAAGTTCTTGATACGACCCGAGTTTTTCCGAGGAGCCATTGTCAAATAACCGAGTTTCGATTAGAGCGGCAGGATCAAACTAAAGCTTCACAAGTAACGTCATTCTCTGAAGAGTCTACTGCGTGGCGGTTCAGGCTTTGGAAAGCGAATGGCGGCCAACTACAGGAGAATGCACCGAAAGGCTTCATTTTGTTCTAGCGGAAGAAGTTTCGTCGTGCGTGTCGGTTGTCCTTACCCGTAAAAGAAGGTGTCGAAGGACTTTAGACCAGACTTGCTTCTGCTACGGTCTGTTGCAGGCTAAAGGCCCGTTCACACACTTACGACCGACTTTGACCGAGAGAGACCAGACCGGTTTTTAAGCCTTTTGCGACTTCTTAGGACCGAATGCTCGGCAGCGGAGCTGGTCCTAAGAAGTCGCAAGAGGCTCAAAAACCGGTTTGGTCTCTCTCGGCCTAACTCGGTCGTTAAGAACGCGGGAAACATGCATCCCACCAAGCCTCCCCTCTTTCCGCTTTAGCCGAGGCCAGTCTTGGTTACGTTACCAATACTAACAAAGGAAACAACGTTACTCGTTAGATAGTGAAAAAAATTATGTGTCACTAATATTCTTTACCGTCCTTCGATGTAACGAAATATCGTTACCGTTGCTTCCAAAAACGAACGGACGTTAGTTGCGTTACCTTAAGTTTCAGTATTCGTCAGGGATAAGCCGCCTTTACGAACTTCGACACGAATTGAATTTTTACAGAGCGATTTCACATTATCCTTTTTCTTTGTTTATCGCATTCGTAGAACCGATGTCCTGATGGCGAGTTGTCCCTTTGAAGGGACCAAAAATGTGACTAATTTTAATCGAAAGTAATGAGTAACGAGTGACGTAATTTGATAGGCAACAGCGCAAAATGGTAAAACGATACTTTACTCCTTTGTCATTTCGAATTCTGGTGAGTATGTTAGTACGTTACTGAAAATCTAACGCGTTACTTCCAACCGTCAACAGAGAGAGCTGGAGAGAAAGCGAGTACCCGCTTCACTTCCACTCCAGCGTTCGCTCTGCCAAAGTGAAACGAGTTGAAAGATTCGTGGGAGAAGCTTGTACTGCTTTTTTTAACCTGCAACAGACCATAGATCACGGGACTTTTACTGAAGTTACCAATACCACCTGTTCACTCTGAAGGCGCAATAACCCATGATGCCCCTTGAATAAGTGCAAACCATCTTATTGTATTATTAGGGTCTAGGGGTTTATTCTATATAAATTCACTCCACATGAGCTATATCCCAACCTTTATAGTCCTAACTTTCTTCTTCTCTCCTCTTGGCCAACCTGGCGCACGCTCTGCTGCCCATTGCATCGTCCCCCATGAGCAACAATGTCGTGATGTGCCACCCGCTGAACAAGGCGTGAACTCAATGCCGAGCCCGTTGTGTGGCGCGCGAGCGCCTAAGTTCTGTGTGTGGCCGTTGCACGCGCCCGCACCCTTACAGTATTATGTTGCTGTTTTTACGATAAGGAAAGAGGAGCATTACTTGAAAAAGGAAGTATCGAAGGACTTTAGACCAGGTAAGCTGTGTTGTTTGTTTGTCTTGAATGGCCCTCTTTCCTTATCGTAAATTAGAAACCAACACACTAAACCACCTAGAGTATAATGTATCTCTTTGTTGATTTGGAGGAATTTTTCAAAGAGGTATCCCATAAAAAATATTATATTGGTTCTACATTATTTAGCCATGACCATGACCAGCAATTGTTTTGTTTTTAAATAATAATTGTGGTTGTGGGGATATTTATACAGCGTGTAGTTGGTCAGCCATTTAAAGTTTTTTTTTTAATTATTAGTGAACAAAGTGTTTTTCATTAATTACATGTCTGCTTGCAATGGGAGCCGAAAATAAAGGCAGATAGTTTTTTCCGAGTGTTTCGTAGATACAAGCGAGAATGAGGCACACTAGTTTCCCAGCTCAAGGCTAGATATCCACTCCTCTCTGTAATGCCTTCGGATTTTGAAGCAGAAACGAAATTACAGGGCGATAAAAAGCAGCGAAGTAACGCCTTCCGACTGATTGCTTCGCGCCTATTGTGAGTGACTACAAGAACATATCTGTAGCTATAACATATTTTCTTGTGATTTCACGTCGTGCATTAACACAAGCCGAAGACAAAAGTGCAACAGCCGAAAAAAAGATTCGATAATTACATTTAAAAGTGTGCGGCTGTTTTTTTTTTTTTTGTTTTGTTTTTGCATTCCTTTTTTTTTGTTGTTGCAGTTTCATTTTGCGCTTACAATATAGCAAATTAAATTAACTAGACGATTCGACTGCGTCGTTTTTTAATTGAATTGGTCTTTCACGCAGTTTCTGTAGCAAACGTTCTGTGGTGACGTCGTTGTCATCAGCTTAGTCGTGCAAAACAAACACCCCCTAAACAAAAGAAGGCCGTAGTTGTGGATCTCTGACGTCACCGACCGGAGGCCAGCTCGGAGCACAGACGCAACACAAAAGCTGCGTCAGCGTTTTGCTCGGACTCGTGCTCGATGAGGAGATAACATGAATCCCAGCCCTACGCTGACGCAGCAGTCCAATTTGTGCGCTACGGCGGCCTCGTTTATTTACGCAGAAAAATTTGGATTTTGGGCCTTTTTGTCTAAGAAGGGCCGACACTGGGTGACGGAGAAAATCCAGCGGTAAGGCCTTATGTTTACCAGACCGGGGTTCCATTCGAACGCAGCGACGACGGCGTCCGAGGCCGGCACCCGTGTCTTCAAGTTCCCCCGCTGGCGCCTGAAGGGCGTGGCCCTGCCCGAGGTCCTGGAGGCGTACCAGTCCGTGGGCGCCGAGCTGAACGTGATGCCCTTCTGCAGCCAGTTCATCCCGATGGAGGTGATCACATGGCCCAAGCACCAGTCCATCGTGTACCACCCGTCGCTGCTGCCTAGGCATCGGGGGGCCTCGGCCATCAACTGGTATGTTCCCGCTGAAACACCGTGCAGCTCGCGCCCGCATCATCTTTCTGCGGAACACAGCTCATCATCTTCTACGTTAGTCTCTGACAGAGAAGGAGTAGTAGGGAGATATTTGAGGCGTTCCGCCTCCAGCGCGAGACCTTAGACAACACTTCGGTGACTATCAAGCGTGCAAGCGCTTATAGACGCTTTACACACGCGCCAAATTACAGCCGCCATTGCTGACCTTCTCTTGCCTTACCGAGATTATGGTGGCTAGAAGGGGAGGTGGCAGCATTGGTCGCTGCGGAGTGTAGCGGCGGATCATGCTAGCAGCGGCGGCGCTGCTGTCGACACTTAGATCGGTCGGCTTGCCGGGCGACCGCCCGCGAACGCGCTGCAAGGCCGGCGGTTCGGACTTTGTCGGTGGCATTTCATACGCACAAGAACCACATTTGGTGTTTGTGGGACATTTGTTCGTTACATTGATAGCAAAGCGCTATTTGTGAATGAGTACGCACAAAACAAAAATAACGCTGAGGACACGCAAGCGTACAGCGCATCACGTGCACGCGCGAATGAAGTGCCAGGCAAGGCACGCGCTCGGCAGTAGCTCTGTCGGCTTAGACAGCGTTGCACACTATATGTAAAGTAAAAAAAGAAGAAGAAAAAAAAAAGAGAGGCTCGCAATGTTTGAGGATAAGAGAAATAATAAGACAAACCATTACATAAACATTAAGAAAATAATTAGATAAACAATGACGGCAGATATGAGAAACAGCACGCTCACGCGAAATACGGGTTCAATTCGTAGAACAAGGGTCGATTTTTTTTAATAGTTGCTAATATATTAACACGTGAATATACTGTCAGTTGATGCTCATTTTCTGAAAAGCTAGCCTCTCATATTGCTCTGATAAGGTGTGCCAACATACCTACTAAGGGAATTTCTTAAAATACCCGCACACTGCTTCGTTCTACATCTTATCTCGAAGCATCGCACGTGGTAAGATGGCATGGGTATTAGGAAGGTACAAAAATAAGGACATGGTGTGCTGGGCTTAAATACAATGCTTATTTATTCAATGAACAAGAACTCTAAAAAAAGGCCTAGGGAGATATTTAAAGCGTATGAGCTACGTAACGCGACGAAGCTTCAAATAGCGCATTCGCCGCCTTCTTCCTTCTCTTGCTTTGTTTTCCGCTTGGACCAGAAAATGTAGCCTTGTTAGCGTATAAAACTTGATGAGGCTGTTGCTCACCTCCGTGCTATGTTCACTGCAACCAATCGCAACCAGCCTGTTTCTTGTCAGAGAGAAAATCAGGTCCATTACGCTGTTTGCTTTCAGCTTGTTAAAGCTGAAACAATAGGTGAACGCGTTTTCCATATTGGTAACGAAGGCTTGGAGTTCTTGAGAAGGGTAGAGCAGCCCTCCCTTGTCGACCTCTTGCGTCAAGCAAGCTTCTGCGGGAAGTTCCGAGCCAGCTGGCAGAAGCAGCACTCTTGAGCGCTCGTCGCATTTGCTTTTCCTCAGCATTCTGCGGGCAACATAGCCTGTGACATAGTATACAATTCGAGAGTCACTGCTTGATGAGACGGAACAGCTGTGATCGTCAAAGATATCGCATGACACGAGCAGTTCGTGGACTTCATTCAGACATCCAATGTCCATGAGCTCATCAAGCTTCTTCTGACTTTCTTTTGGGTTCTTGCTGGATCCATTTAGCAGGCTTTTTATCAGTGCGGGCGAGACATTCCCGTTTGCAGGGGGCTTTGCTAAACTGCAAAAAGCAAGACAGTTTGCTGAAAGCAAGAACTGTGTTGGAGTAGGATGATCATTACTGCCAGACATTTGCCTTAAGATTCCGAATATATTTTCCAGGGGATCTTGACTTAGACGTGAAGTTAACAGGTATTTATAGCCAAGCTTTCCTGTGACATAGTCAAGAATGGATACTGTGCTGGCTAGAGTGACACGAAGCCCTTCTGCAGTACCTTGACTGAGGAAACCTAGCTTGCCAACCTCCGCTTCCCAAGCATCTAAGTAAGCAAGGAAATCTTGCACCTCATTCAGGATTCGTGATTTCGGGCGCATAGCATCACGGCTGCAGCTAGATGTCATTACGGCAACAAGATTAGCCATCCTTCTGATGAAAGACATTGTTGCTGTGCTGGAACCGGTGCCATATTTTTTTTCAATGTCATCTTTGTAGGTAAACAGGCCTCTTAGCGCCTCATCACTAAAAAAAGTAAAAGCAAAGTTAACTTTCATTTATTCAAAGCCATTTGGCTCAATTACAGCTCTTGTTACATGTGGCATTGCTCTCAGCCTGACGGTGTCTCTGTTATCGCATTTCCACGCCTCCCTCACCACGTCCATCCTGACCTTCCCTTCAGGTACCCGAAGGCCTGTCGACACAATGGAGTTGCGAACGCACTTTACAAGATGCGGAAAATCTGACAAGAAATGGAGACTTCTTTTGTCGTCTGCGGGGTACTTCACTTTGCAGACTGTCTTCTCCGCGGTTGCTTTGACGCCGAAGCCCCGCCACATGCTCCTGTTCCAGGAGGCACCATCCGTGGTCACAAAATCCACAAAAAGGCCAGACTTTTCCGCAGCTAATGTTGCGTCAACGATAATCTTGGCAAGCATGCCTGCTTTGACGTTGCTGTGTGAGCCAAAAACTCCCAGGATCTGCTGGAAATCCCCTGAGAATGGTTGGAATAATACAACCAGACCATGGTCACATGTCTCCGTGCTTTGGTCCACAGAAGTGTACGCACCCAGGTCAACAAAGCCCTCGATAAACCCACTGCTTGTCACTTTGAGGTTTTCCGAAAGCTTCATCTCATCTATCAAGAGGTCTCCATGCCTCTGAAACGCGTCCATGGTTTTGGTCTTTTCCGCAATTGCGGCGAACACACTGTCATTAAACCCAAAACTGCTTTTGTAGTTCCTGACGTACTTCTGCAAGCAGCTCTTGCTGGGGAGCACCATTATTTTGTGCTTACGGATGTGCTCGTATAACTTGGGGCTTTTGATTCTCATCAATATGCACTCCAACACCCACTCCTGACTGTACCCCATTCCTTGCGTTCCTTTTCTTTTTGATGCTTGAAAGCAGGTTTCAACTTGTTGCCGCTGCTTTTGTGGCAGCCCGGAGAGACTTGCTTCGAGGTTCGACGCAGAAATACAAGAATTTTCTTTCTTCATTCTTTCAAGCGTTGTCTTCAGGTTACCGACCTTCGCCTTTTCGCGACGCAACTGCCTGGCACACTTCATCAGCTTTTTTGAAGTGCTGAGAGCAGGAGTCAAGCTTGCTTTCTTTCTTTTGTAGGACGCTTGGTTCACGAGAAGCTTCCTAAAATATCTGCATTGAATGCATGGCCTTTGGTCTTGGGATACTCCAGGACAGCTGGTACTGTGCACTTTGCTCCCATGCACTCTTTGCTTTGTCCGACCTGAGCTCTGACGTTGCACTTCTGGAAGGGAACTTTCCTCAAACCTGGAGCGTGCAATCATTTGGTCGATTGAATGGAGTAGGCTTTCCACAGACTGGGCGTCAAATACTTCTACTGTCTCAAGTGAAACGCCTTGCACAAACACGGAGCAGTGATAATGTACATCATCCGCCGAACAGAGCACCAGCTTTTTAAAGGATACACTGTCACCCGCTTGAGCACAGACACTAAATGCGATGGCCTTCGTTGCTTCTGCGAGCAGGTGCCTTGACCAATAACCACTGGGAAGCTTCTCGTCTTTTAGGTAATCTAGTTTTTCCAGCGTGCAGGCGCTGGAAGTAGCTGCGCCGTCCGCCGTGAAGCTGGAGCCGTCGTCATCACACGAAGCAGCTTCACGTGTCGGACCGTCACTCGTCTTTGTTCTTTTCCCAGTTACTTCCCCACTCGAGGTTCTCGACTGCCGCTTTTTGGGCAGCTTCTTCGACAGATATTCTGGGACGTTCGGAAACAGCGTCGGTATTGCGTACTCGCTGAGGCAAGGCCGGCCGCGAGGAATCTTGACGACTTCTCCATTTACGACGTGAGTGTAGTGTCGCACAACGAATCTGGGTTCGAAGTGTAACTCACAGACCACCGACGTTTTCTCCAGAGGCTTGTCTGCTCGCGGAATGGCTCGCTGCCATGCTCGTAGCCGTTCCTCGTCGTCTGGTACGGCGAAAACCGAAGCCTTGCCGCCCTTCTTCCTGGCGGAAACGTACCCCGTCGTGCAACCGAGAGCAAAGCAGTGTGTCTGACGCTTGGGAGGTTTGTCCATTCTCACTTGAGTCGTGAGGACGCATGAAAGTGACTTTGAACGTGCTCTGGACGAAATAGGCACGACAAAAGCAGTTCAGAATCGCAACAAGTCGCAGCGTTATAGCAGCGTTGCCGCTCGAAACAAATCTAAGAAGCTACACGCGCGCCACCTATCGTTAGCATGAATAACTGATACACGCCCCGCCGTTCGCTGCCCGCCGTGAAGCTCCCACCTCCCCTTCTAGCCACCATACCGAGATGCCGAGCAACTGAAACGGTAGTTGACGATCCTCTACAAAGGCCGATGCTTTAGAAAAGGACACAGTTGGATCTAATGGGGCAATAACCTGGCCTGCTATGGTAATGATGACGTGAAATAAACGGAATAAGAGGAAACAAAAACTGAAGGTCAGTTATGGCGGCGTCCATGCACAGCTGCTGCAAAGCGTCTGACAAGCGATAGCCATAGGAATGTCTGCCATGCCAAGACGCGTGACAGTGATGCAACGCCGCGTGACGCACGTGTGACGCGTACCAGACGCAGATCACGAGCCCTGCCCGAACGTCGACACTGGCTGGGATCACGGCGGCAGCAGGGTGGATTTTCAGCAGCTCCTGTTTTTTTTCTCTTTGGTGATTGTGGTGTTAAAGATTTGTTTGTTTTTCAACCGTCAAACGTCTTTCTGTCGCCACAATATTACTGACGGTGCTGACTAGCGGTAAATTAGTGATGGGGGTTCGAAGGTCACCGCGGGCAAAGTACAAAATGTCACAAAAAAAATTACGCGGTGTCTTTTGACGAAAAAACAAAAAGTAGACATCGCCGAACGTTTATTTTTCGCCCAAAGGTAGCTCTAGAGGGGACAATCAGATACCAAAACTCTCAGCCCCATCCGATGCCTTATTCAAAAGCTATTGGCGACGTGCGCGACCGAAAGCGTCGCAGTGGTCGGCCTTCCACGATTGGCCGAACGCTGAATATGACGTCAGAAAAGGATTTATCATCGACGGAAATAAGAGGAATGGAAGAACTTTAATTTTGACGGTGTTGGCAGTGTTCCTTTGAGAGCGCAATGATTTCAAGCTTCCATCATGCTATTTACAAACACCATCGAACTTGTTGTTTGCAAGGTTATGACGTCACAAGGGGGAACCATACGAGCGCGCCTCCAAAACATCTCGCCGCTAATAAAAGATTTTCTGAAAATTCCAATAGGAAAATGGCGGCCGACAGATTTTTCTAATACATTGGGCTCTATGGCACCAGAAACCGAAAATGGGTAAAAATTGGCTCCATTTTCCCATTGGAAATTTCAGAAAATCACTTATAAATTTTGATTAAGTTATCGGATTGTACTGTAAATTATGCAATCTGGTTGTGACCTCTAGCGCTTGGTTTGGGCGGAAAATGAGCGTTCGGCGATGCCTAGTTTATTTTTGCAATTAAAAAAAAAAAAGCTGTGAATTTTTTTTGGCATCTTGTTTACATTCTGAGAGCTTTGAAAATCGCTGAATCGCCGCACACGGCATTAGTCACACACTTTCGTTCTGAAGCTATCGACGTGTATATTGATTGACTAAGTCCAGCCCAGCTGTTGATGATACTCATAGTAATCACTCGCGCTAGAACACTCTCCATCTGGAAATTTGAAATTTCATTCCCAGTGTACCAGAACACGTATCGTGTCTGGAGCAAAGCGTTATGAGAGCCGCACTGTTGGCATGTTCCAGCGGCTTTCTCTCCGTATTGGCCGACGACCCGGAGAACCCTAACCACCCCCGATAATATTTAGGACACAGTATCTTTCGGCAAGCGTCTGCACGTCCGCCACTGTGCAGGGTGCTCGGGAACACTAATCTACAAAGATGTAGTCATGCACACGAGCAAAAGAAGATTGTACGGGCCTTTCCGATGTCCGCGTGAGCTTCTCGATGGGAAGAAAAAATCATTGTGCCGGCTTCCGGTGGTGTTTTCTTGGCTTAGACTAGAGCCATTGAGTAAGCCACGCTTTCGAGCAGCCACCTTCGAGCCATCTTGTTGCTTAACATCATTGTTGAAATTACTTTAAATCTCAAAAAATGCTTTTATTTTTCGGAAATCTTAGACAAAGTCCGGGGACAGACCAAATCGATATCGCCTAGTTGAGCTTCCTGACATGGTACCTAAAACCGTGGTCAAACATCAAATAAATCTTACAAGAGACGGTCTGCAGGTAACGTCTGAGGCGCTCCTTGCATGACGGTCACAGTGGTCATACAGAAACTGTCTTCAGACATTCTCGAAGCCTGCGTGAAGCAGACGTGCTTCGAACACGCTTGAGCCGTGTTTGCTGATACTTCTGCCATCGCTTCTGCAGCGAATGCGGAACACAACTTCGTCTGCTTCTTGCGCAGGGGTTGCGATGATGTCAGAACGCCGAACTCTTAATTTCTGATCGAAAAAAAAAAAATAGTGGGTAGACCTCAAGGCATCTAGCATTGAGGTCTGCCCACTATCCTTTCATTCAAAGCCAATCAGAGCTCGGGGTTGTTCTGACGTCACCGGAACTCCTGTTCAAGCAGCAGACGACTTGCTTTCCGCGTACCGTGTCTTTTGTACGATGTATGAGCAGCGTAGGTGTTGCTTAAAGGTCAAAATGTGGAATTTTCGAGTAGTAACTATTTCCAGTCGCGCTCACTCTGCAGCGTTTGCACTAGGTATCGAAATGGCGGGAGCCCTCGAAACAGTCTGGGAAATACAGGGTCCGATCGAGAAAAGCAAACCCTACTTTTCGGCCTGCGTAAGAAAACTACGCATCGCAGAACGCTCAAACTCCGCCAGAATGTAACCCTAGCGGTCCAAGCAAGATGCCAAAGTTTCAGCCCGATCCGATAACATAATTAAAAGTTATAAGTGATTTTCTGAAAATTTCAATGGGAAAATGGAGCCCATTTTTGCCCGTTTTCGGTTTCTGGTGTCATAGAGCCCCATGTGTTCGAAAACTCCGTCGGCGGCCATTTTCCCATTTGAAATTTTCAGAAAATAACTTATAACTTTTGGTTAAGTTATCGGATCGGCTGAAACTTTGGCATCTTGCTTGGACCACTAGGGTTACATTCTGGCGGAGTTTGAGCGTTCTGCGATGCGTATTTCTTTTACGCGGGCCGAAAAGTAGGGTTTATTTTTCTCGATCGGACCCTATAGAATGCCGATACTCTAAGCGCAGCTTTCTTTAGGGACTCTAGCTAGGGCGGTGCGAAGCCATTCCGACCTCTTCGCTCAGGACCCTGATGGAAGGGGACACCACGGCAGGCCTGAGTGTCTTCTGGGCTGACGACGGCTTGGACACCGGTCCGCTGCTGCTGCAAAGGCAGTGCCCCGTGGAACCCAACGACACCGTGGACACGCTCTACATGCGCTTCCTCTTCCCAGAGGGTGTCAAGGCCATGGTGAGCTTTAGTGTGACCCCAGGTTTGAAAGTGTTTCCATCTGTCCGACCACGTGGTGCATGGGTAAGGTACCGTGGTTTCGGAGTTTGTTTACCTTCAAATTCGATGGTGTTTTATTTATTTTTTTCGCGAATATTAGACTTTTTTTAAGTCAGTGTTTTGTGTTGAACCAAAACATTTGTTTGTAGCAAGCCTAGGCACTTCACCGACTAACCTACCAATTAATCGAGTAAGACTGTAATCGCGTATAATGTTTTTACCAGTTGATCGGTAAAATTTGGATAAACGGTTAAAGTAAAAATTTAACGCTTTCATCACGCAGACGTGAACAAGTACAGTGGCCTACTTTTTAAATAATATCACGCGAGCGTCGACCGCCGTGAAGGCCAGCGCTGTGCCGCGGAGAAATGCGGCGTCACGGGAGAAATTAGGCGCGTGCGCACAAAGCTCTTTTCGTTGCGAGCGTCGTCTGCTAGGCTATTCCGTGGACCGCACACAGCCCCTGTTCATTATCTGCTGGCTTAGCTAACCGCCTTTAAGCAAAGATCTGAACAACGCTTGCTTGCGTAATACTGCTCAGGCGTGGCATACACCGCGCGTCATCTCAAGTTTAATTTAATTTTCTTTTCATTTCATGTCTTTATTTACTTCTGTGAATACTCACAAAAATGAAAAATACGGTTACGCGACAAACTGAATGCAACGCTGCATTTAACTATGTACTGCAGGTAATGCTACGAGCAATCAAAACCTATCCACTGCTTTCACTGTGCCACGTGACATTGTGCTTCCCAGTGCAGTTGCACCCAGCGGAAAGGCCACGTCACACACTTTTAGCGATCGACTGGCAAGATGGCTCGTAGCGTCGGCTGCGGTACAACACAAAGTGAAACGGATTAGTGACAGGATTTTTGCTTGGGTGTTTTGTATTATCAACTGCGTTGTTGCTGTCGTCGTTTAGCCTATGCAGCCTGGTAGTCACACTTTTCTTTGTCCAGAGGGCGCGCGCACATTTTTTGTGTCCTCGAGTGCCCATAAAAACACGGGAACGTGTTGAGAGAGTGTTGATGGGCGGCATGACGAGTCGGGATTATTCAGGCTACCGTCAATAGGATTGTGAACGGTAAACGCATTCCAAAAGGTGGGGCGTATCGGCGATGCAGTTTGACATTGCAAGCGCCCTGCACTCCTTTGGTACGGATAAGGGGCTGTGTGCGACCAACGGAATAGCCTAGCAGACGACGCTCCCCCTAGAAAGGGCTTTTTCCGCACGCGCTTAATGTCTCCCGTATCGCCGCACGCCTCCGCGACACGGCACTGACCGTCCCGGTGGTCGACGCTCGCTTGATATTATTAAAAAATTGGGCCCATCACGACAGGCTTAAATACCTGTTTTTAGCTTCTTCGGTCGTAAGCAGTTTCAAGTGTGTGGATGCACCTTTATACGTGTCCCGGGCTTTTGAATGCAGTTAGAGTTTCTGTTTAGCGCAGCAGCTACTATTGTTAACAATCAAAGGGGTTCGCTATTGCCGGAGGATATCAACGAACCTCCTTGCCTGGCTGAAGCAATAATTTGTTAGTGTACGTGTCTTTTGACTGTTCTCAACTATTGGCGGTGAGAAGCTCGCTAGGGGCGCTTCTGTTTTCCTCACTATGGATGGTGCACGTGCTACTCACACGGTTAAGTTTAATTTTCATAGTGCATTGGAGCTTGGCACTGCGCGTGCTTGCACCAGCAGAGATGAAGTTGAAGTATCCTCATTTTGGGTTGTAAAACCATTCCACCAGGCGGTGATACCCAAACTTCTCGCCGCAAATACATCGAAGTTGATTTAAAACCCTAAACTGCACATTGCGCCATTTCTCACATATCCGGCAAAAAAAAAAAAATAGTATGCATGGGAATGAACAAAACCGATTAATTGATATAAATCAATGAAAGGTCGTCGACTAACCGGGTTAGAAATTGTAATCCACGCCCAGCCCTAGTTTTTAGAGGGGCTTAAGTCGAAGAAAACAGGACGCTGGCGTGGCATTTCTTATCCTTCGGGGAACCGCATGCTTGAAAAATGTCCCGGAACCGACTAGGCAAGGAAAAGAAGACAGCGAGTGTGGCCTCCGAAGAAAGGTAGATTCGCGGCCAATTCAGTGCGGGCTGCGTTTTACACAAACGTATATTGAAGCTGTAGGTAAATAGTTTTTTCACTGAAATTCTGTGAGCTTTTATTAAAGGCGAAGCGGCGTTCGGTTTTTTCTTTTTTTCGCGGTTTTTCTTTGATTTCAATAAAACCGACTCGGAGGTTACTTTCGATTTTTTATTGATATAGAATGAAAACACGAAACCCGGATCATGAGCCGCGTTTGCAGTAAAGGCGCGAGGAGAGTGCGAAAGTCTCGATCGGTCCGCAGGAGTCTCCAACACTGGTTCTGCCTTCCCACCTGCTATCGTCCTGGCAACACGTTCACGCGGAAATTCGCTTCAACAGAGAGCTTAACCTGGACGCAAATAAAACTACAAGAACTTTATTGCATACAGATGAATGTAAGCGGATATGTTAGTCTGGAATCATTTAACGCTTCAAGAACTTAATAAAATATTGATGAATGCAAACAGAGAAGTTAGCCTGGATGCATTTATCATGTCAAGAACTTCGCTTCAGCAGAGGGCTTAACTGGACGCAATGAAAACTACAAGAACTTCATTGCACATAGATGAATATGATCAGAAAGGTTAACCTGGACTCACTTAGCACTGCAAGAATCTCACGCATTTTGCAGGACCATGAAGACGCTCAAGGACGTAAATAAGGGCAGAACGAGCGGGTTGGTAGGGATAATTAAACTCTGTCCCTTCTCGTTTTGCTCCTCAAGTTTGATTAAAGACGTAAGTAGTCGACAACGCAACTTTACATAGTCAGAAGCCATTGCCTTTTCTCTGTGGTGGAGGCAAGAACTTTTTGCAAAGCTTGCTGACACGATCGTTGGGATCATTACAAAAAGTACGACATCTAATAAAGTTAATTTTATAGTAACTCAGCGTTCGGTCTGTTTGAGTTTAAGTACAATCAATGCCTTGACGAATAATCAATCGATCAATTAATTATTATTTTTCACAAAATAAAGTGGGAACACGGGAAGTATTGGTATCTGAGCTCGTGTATTTGGTATCAGAAATTGACAAGCTCTAACAATGTCCTTGGCAGAATACATCCCGTCTTACTGCCAAACTTGGCGCATGACAATGAAAAACAAAATGGACAACTTTCCTGTGACATTTACCATATTGAATTCTGAAGTGGTTTGGTTGGGCGACGAAAAACAATTGCTGGGAAAGAACACAAATTCTGTTTGAAGCTTTGAATTATATCGCATTCCACTTGGCAACTTAAGCAATATAATGTTTTAACCAATTCCGCGTACGTAAGAATTGCGAGAAAGATGTTTACAGCAATCAGTAGCAGACAACGTAGGGGCTTGTTCTGGCTGCGAGCTTTTTTTATTGCGCGAAAAGCCTAATTCTCGTCTCGTTCAAGCCACATTTGCGATTTTCAAACCGTAAATACCCACGCCTATTTCTTTTTCAAACAGTGGTGTGGAACTCTTTTTCAAACTAAGATTTTTTATACAACTTTCGGTTCGTTTTCAAAGTTGTGTGTTCCAAATTCCAATCCTTAATTGTAGAACTTATTGCATTAAAAAAACTTTGGGATTGTTTCAAGCGTTCCTCTACAATTCTGGACCGTCGTGTTAGTGTGTCATTCCTGCATTAAAAATTCTCGAATAAAGATATGAGGCAATTTCATATTTTTCGTGATATACCACGTAACTATTCTTCAGAAAATTTACTTATCATAGATACAGGTTAATAAAACCTGACCCTGCATAGGTCGCCGGTACTGTCAGATATCGCTTAATACGCTTTTTGACATTCTACGTGAAAAATAAAATGTGAGTTGAAAGTTTGATAAGTTATTAATACTACTAATAATCTTATTAACTCTCGTCACCATATACTACGTAGATGCATATGTGGTGGGGGCTAGGGAAGAAATCCGCCCAAGCAGCTTGACTGGTCCCCAGCCCCCTTGCAGGTACACAAGATGCTGAAAAATTCACTAAAGTTTCTATATAAAGGTTCCTTGGCATATAAAAAAAATTATATATAAATTCTAACTCACATATAAAAAGGATCTTTGTATAAAAGATTCCTTTATAAGATATTCTAATTCATGTTCTTACCATGCACCAAACTTCTACATGTGGGATCGCTGACTCGTATCTTTTTTAAGCGTGGCCCTCGTGCCTGTGATCTTCCCCGCCACCGCATCACGCTCAGGTGTAAATGAGTTGTTGAAAGTTTCTTTTTTAAACAGCATGTTCTAATTCGGGACTTTACGTCAAGTCACCTCTGGAAAAAAAAGAAATCAGAGCGTAGTTGTTATTGGGTTGTGTCCCCGATGCCATATTGGCACTGACTGTGTGCTCCCGTCTGCAGGGAGAAGCCGTGGAATTGATTGCACAAGGAGTGGCACCGCGCACCGTGCAGCCCACAGAGGGCGCCACTTACGACGCCATGCTCAACAAGCGTGAGCTCTGCAAGGTGAGTGGCTATTACTGGCACCCTACAGACTACGAAGACTATAGCTATTTATTAAAGCCATAAAAACAATAATTTTTAAATTGGCGTTGAAGTTGCCAAACAGTACGTCTAGGAAATACCTTCTTTTCTTTTCTTTGCGGAATATTGTGCAGATTATTTGTATAATATTTACAATATGGTCGTTGTATATTAACTGATTTTACTCAAGCTGTCCAAAATCGATCCGTAAGATATATGCTTTCAAATTACCATCAGACATCCAGCGTAAGCACTATGAAATCAAATCTTTTTCTCCCTCAATTATCAACTCACAGAAGAATAGCCCGTCTAAGTTTGTTCCATACAATTTAATTCACTAACGACACGCTGCGTAATAAGCTGATCATAACTTTCATTTATATTCCACCTAGACACGACCATCAACAGTACGGTGGCGTGCCGTAGGCTCGCATTAACGTCTTTCACAATTCTTTCATACCATCTAATAGATCCTGTGAATGGAACCACCTTGCTGGGCCCGTATTATAAATCATGACCCTTTTAGAAAGGCCTTAGAATATATTTTTTCCCTAATCTACACTGATTGTCTTTCCCTGTATGTGTGCCTGTGTTTTCAATAATTCATGGAAGCACTTATCCTTCTGTAATGTTCACGCCCTGAGAATAAAATAAACAAAATAAATACATAAAATAAATTAATAAAAAATCAATAATACTGTTTATATAGTGGTTGGTTTTGTTTATTTAACTTCGGACAACAAAGGACCGTGTTTACATGACACTGCAGGTAATGAAAAATATTTTAATAGAGATGACATATGCCAAAACTTGCTAGCACAGCGTCTCAGTTGAGGCGCTGTTTTTAGTAATCCGGCCCTGGTTAGATGAGACGAGTACATAAACACAACATTTAGTTTAGCTTCAGTTAATTATCGCGAAGACATTCTTGACGATTTGTTGTATGAATGGGTACAGCAAAGTGTTGCAAAGATCGTTTCATATTATAATATGCATGGGGCGAAAAATAAGCCGAAGGCCCACTTCTCCAAAGCACGCAAAAACAAACATTGATATAATAATGCTTAAGCTCTCGTCAAACTCCGGAGATCGTAGAATATGTTCACAAGTGTCACGCTGTCGTGTAACACCGTGACGTTACGTCACGTGGTCACACAACCTGACGTGGTAAACGTCTTCGCGGAATGCAGCGAAACAATTTAACTGCTAAATTTATTGGAAAACCTTCTTCGCCAAATTGAGCAGGAATTATTCCTCCACTAAATTTATTGGCATGTGTTCTCAGTCCGTGATTTTACATATGTCAATCACGTTAAATTCGTCTGTGACATTTTAGGCGGTGATTCTTTCCCTAATCATTCCGCGCTAAATTAAAATAAAAAAAAAATAACATATAGGTTAGGAAACTACGCAATGAAGTATGTAATGCACAATGATCTGCAATACTCCACGCTGTTGCAACGAGCTCGGGGTCAATGCCTCTTCGCACTTTAATGGCACAGGTAGTCGTCGGGCACTACTCTTTGTCGCTCTGGCTTATGCATCGCCCGCCCACATTCCACCAAACTAATGCGGCGCGCAAGCTTGTCGGCTTCCTGCACAGAGGGTGCGTTAGCGCCAGAGCGCCGAGCTGTGATTGGAAGGATAGAGGGTAGACGCAAAAGCTCTTTTTATCTCCAGCCACCATCTCCCTCCAGTCAGGGTCGGACGTTCGAACGCTGGCGTCGTTAGCAATGACTGTCTCACCTTTTCTACTGCGTTAGGAATTCCACCGCTTCTTTACAAACAACGGCGTGGCCCCCGAGAGAAAATAGAAGAAATAGCTGGAAGGGTACGTTGTTTGTGTTCACTAGAAACTTCCAGGCGTCTTCCAACAAGCGAGGTATCCAAGGCCGAGAGGCCGCAGGTCGTAAGTCGTCTGCTCCAGGCCGAGGAGCAAGCAGCTTCAAGGGCGGAGTCAGTCGCACACTTGATCACCCTATTTCGCCGCGCCTCATCACCTTCTCTCCTAGCCGGGGTTCCCCCTCATGCTCGAAGAGACCGTTCAAAACGACTCACTGGGCGAATAGCTTTGATGCTAGTGTTTTATTCCTTCAACAAACATGCAAAAAACCAGGGACTCAGCATGAGGGCTAATCAGGCACGTAGCCAGGATTTTGATTCGGGGGGAGGGGTGGGGGGGGGGGGGGGGGCGCTTATGAAAAAATTATGTATGAGGGGCAGGGGGGAGGAGGCCCCAACAAAATGAAAAATTTCGGCCCCCCCCCCCCCCCTCCACACACACACACCCTGGCTACGTGCCTGGGGCTGATATTGATAAGTATAATGCTACCGGCTCTGGAAGGATTAGACATTCAAAATAGACGACATATTGACAGTATACCGGGGTTTATCTGTAGTTGGTCGCCACAAACGCTACGCTCGAGCATAAGATTGTTTAAAAATTCACGTGGAAAAGCAAACATCGTTGTTGCTATGTTGTTATGCAGCATCATTGTCATTATTCGCATGTAATTTAAAGGCCAACTCCGCTTCATTTTTGATATTTAGGAAACTATGCAGCCCTCTTCAGTATCATATAGGAAGACCACATGTCAAATATTACGATCTAATTCTATCTATATATTTATTAAACTGGCCAGCAAACTTTCAAATGAGCCAAGCCGCCGAAATCTGCCTACTCTAGCGTGCGACGTGAGGCGCAATCATCAGCGCAGTCAATGCCACGGTGTAGGAGCGGCCAACATTGAGCCACTACGTCAGAGGCATGTCTACGTCACTCTCACGTTTTGTTTGTTTTTACTTCTCAGAGCGAAATTGAACGATGACGTCATGAGTTTCTCCTCCCGGTGTTGGCTCAACGGCGTCCACGTGATCACCGTAACGCGGATGCGCTAGTTGGCGCTGCCCTGCGCGCTTCTCAGAGCTGGGAGCAGTCTGTTTTGTCTTCTCTCCTTCCCCCTCCCCCCGGGCCATCACCGTTTACGCCATGCGAAGCGACCTGCCCGCGTCACGTGTCCTGTACCTCGCCCTCACAAAAGGCACAAGACCACGTGGTTCGACGTGACGTGGCTATGACTCTGACGACACGAGACCAATGTTGCCTGACGCAATCGAAGTTTCGGTTTCGGTATCAGCTGATGTTTAAATTAAGATTACACAAATAATATTTCACATTTCGCGAATCCGAAGATGTAGAGCTGCTTAGTATTGCTTTGTGAAATGGAATCACAATTAAGTCTTAATTTTTCGGAATTGAGCGGAGTTGCCCTTTTTAAGTTAGCTCCTTTGGTGCCGTGTTTCTTCATGTGTACTATAACTTGCTTTAATTTTCGTTGCAGTGTACTATAGCTTGTTTGCATTTTTGTTCTTTTTGCTATAATGTTGTACATTTTATCATTCTACCCCCCTGAAAAAAATTCCATCGAGAAATTGCAGTATTAATAAATAAATAAAAAATAAATCTATATGTAAAAACATGAGGGTAAAAATGCGAAAGTTTCTCGACTGGACATTTTATAAATTTAGCTCTTTTGACCGTACATCTTGAGGAAGATCTACCGTTTGATTTCGACTTGTGACCGCACTAATATTGGTACACCCTTAAAAGGCGGTACTTCCCCCTTCCTGTAGTCAGCAACAGGTTAAGAATGCAGTAGATGATCGGCCTCCAGTATCCTCCCTTTGGTAGCACTTCGTCGCACTCAGCCGAAGCCATGCGGAATAAGGCAATGAGCGCGTGCTGGAGTCCGAGCTTCTACTGCATTGCCTGTGAGCAACCATACAGAGTCTGCAGGTAGCCCATCACTGCGAACGACAGAGTGATCCCAGCCAATGGAGGAGCTCAGGATACCGTTAGACCAATGAGTGCGATGGGCGCAGGTACAGCGTGTCGGTAAAACGTCGTGCACATGTGCCATCGCGCGTCATGCTTTTTTAGGTCTAATTGTATTTTCAGCATTGTCATTCGTGGTTAATATTTCTTGGTCCAAAGGGACTGGCTGCCTGCTTGTGCGGCAGGAAAGTTAACACTCGTGAGTTTTTTTTTTAGATCGTAGGACAGTATTTCAAAACCGAAAACGAACTCTTAGCAAGAGTTTGCATTTCAATGCTTCTTTTTGTTTTCCAGTTATTATTTTATTATAATATTAGACGCCTTCTACGTCTGCCGGAAGAAGAAGCATTGAATTTGGTTAGAAGAACTGCAAAAGAAATCACGCAGGGAGAAGGCAATAATCACACATGACACCAGCACTTCGTCGGGTGCGTTTTTTTGTCAGGTCCTTGTGTTCGTTTTTATTCTTCATTGAATGAGTAGCACTGTTTGACATTCCCTTAATTGTTTACCAATTCCAGCAGCTTGCTATCTTGATATAACAATAAATGGGTTTGATATGCTTTTATGTATGGCTATACCGACACTTCACTAGGCTGGCCTACTGAGATGTGGTTTGATGAAAATGACTCGAAGTGTCACTTTTCTATTCCGTGTCCAGATCGAATTCGATCGTCTGACAGGGGCATCTTTACACAACTTTATCCGAGGCATGGACAAGGTACCTGGTGCGTGGATCACGCTTGACGGCCAGGTGAGCGCAGCCTGCCCTCAAGGCATTCACTGTTTCATCTGTTCACCAACCTTCCTGTTCGCATAAAGTCCAACCGTAATTTTTAACCATGTGTGAACCTATAGACGCTTTGCAGCAGCTGTGCCTGGACGCCGCCATAACTGACCTTCAGTTTTTGTTTCCTCTTATTCCCTTTATTTCACTTCATCATTACCATAGCAGGGCAGGTTATTGCCATATTGGATTCAACTGTGTCCTTTTCTAAAGCATCGGCCTTTGTAGAGGATCCTCAACTACCGTTTCAGTTTATCGGCATCTCGGTAAGACAAGAGAAGGTCAGCAATGGCGGCTGTAATTTGGCGCGTGTGTAAAGCGTCTATACCAAAGCCACTGAGAGTAGAGCTATTGGTGCAACTCAGATGATGAAGTCTGCAACAGAAACTGGGCAATGGAGTAAAGATTTTAATTTGAAGATTAGGAGCGAACAAGGAGCCTTCCATCATCCTGAGAGACGTGCATCACGAAGTTATGTGAGGTTCAAGAACACGGCTCATTAGGGCGTCCTTGTGGATCTTCGTGTTGCCCTGGCGTGCACATTGCTATAATGTCGTCGACCTTGAGGCCCTCGAGGTGCGTGCTATTTATAGATTGCTCTAATCATTTCTGCGTACGCGTGCCCAGGGGAACTTGGTGGAGGTTGAATACGACTTCTTGTCTCAGGGCCTATCAGTCTGGCGCGGTATAAACGCCCTTCAACCATGAGGGTGGCCGCAGGGCCAAAGTTGGAAATCGACGATCACTTGCTTCTCCTATTCAACGAATATAATTAGACATTAAGAAAAGGCTCAAATCTTATTATGCAGTCAAGTTCCTTCGTCATTGCATTCCACATCGTGATACTACTACTACAGATACCAACACTTTGCAAATGATTCATTATACTGCAGTCGATTAGAGACGGTTCTGGAGCGTTATGCAGACAACGCACACATGCACATAGGATGATGGCATTTCGAGCTCGACACCATAACGTCATATTTTTGTTTTACCCTATATTAATGATGGGAAATTGTTTTCTTTAAAATCACTACAATTATTTCTTGGGCGCCGTCTGCTTACTTGGAGAGTTTTCGACAATTAGTCCAAGTAATATTCAATAATTCTATCTAATCGATTGGACAGAGCACCATATTAGAAGTTTGACGGGAGGGGTTCGCAAAAACGCTCGTTTATACGGGTACGTCGTATTTGAGAGAAGCGTTAACATTATATGGCATACTTAACGAACCGGTATGGTACCTTTCGTCCGAAGGGCTCGCTAAAGTCGTTTATGTTCCTATTTCCCTGACTGGGAGCATTTGAAAGGCATTTAGGCCGAAGGTCGTGGGATATTCGGTGAACTAGTGCACGGACAGTGGAAGGCGCAAGCTTACGGCTTAAATGCAATTTGAAATGCCCCGTGAGACAGGGGTATTGTACGCCGACGATCCTCATTCGCCAATCGCAGGCCACTAAGGTCTTCGGATCCAGCCTGTGGTCCGGTCCTGCACCCTCGGATGCCCGCGAGGTGTGCGTCGAGGGCATGTCCGGGCCCGGTCTAGTTCATGCGGGAGGCCTGCTCCTCAGGGCCAGCGACGACGTGCTGGTGAACGTGCAGAAGTTGCAGTCCGAAGAAACCGGACGCATGACCAGCGCCGCCAAGTACGGACAGGCCGACGAGAACGGTGACCTGGAACTCAGCGAGAGCGAAAACGCACTGGTCGAACAATTAAGGGTACTGACCACTGACCATCCGCTGGGAAGCTGATGATCAGATTTCTTTGGTATATGTTTTTGTTAGCTCATGTTTGCTCCTGAAGTTCTGCCACTAGACAAATGTCGAACTAACGTCGTTTTCTGGCATGTCATATACACACCATGGTAAATACCTTTCTTACACTTGACTGTCACCTTCCAGTGACAAAAGAACGGGTTTGTAAAAGAGTGTTATACTTAGTTTCATCATCATTTTCTAGTCTAACTATGGTGACCAACAATGTGAGAACGACAGGAAAGTATAGGCCCGTAGCTCTCAAGTTTTGAGCAGCGCTTCAGGCGAGGAAGTAGAATATTTTTGGCTCCCGTTTCGAACGTTCGTCATTGCGCTACCCCACTTCAGTTTTTTCGTACGCTGTTCTATGGTACGTGCCAGCGTAGCCGAGGCTACAAGAGCGAGCTCCAAGCCTTCAGTGTGTCAGTCAAGCACGCGCGCTCATGCAGTGCGAGCATCGTTCAGGGCAACGTGCTTTGCAAGCTTCGGCATCGCTATCACGTAAACTGAAACCTCTACCGTGTTGAGTGAAACACATGTGCTTGCGGAAGATTAAAAAAAAAACAAAAAACAATACAAATATTAGAGCTCAAGGAACTTTTAAAGGGGCGATGCAACAATTTTTGTACTTTGCGCAAATACCGCTTAGAACGGATCCATGACGTTAATGACCTATGAAACACGCGTTAGTTTTTCACCCCACGCAATAGAAGTCCCAGAAAAAAAAAATTAAAGAAAAACGAGCAGCATTTACCCCCTCAACTCGCTGCCAGAACAAGCGGCCACGTGATCTGGAGCCGATTATATGCCGCCAGTGTTGATCATAGCCACGGGCTGGGGTTGGCAAAGCACAAGACACGCGCTGAGTTCCAGACATTGTTGTGGCTCGCCTATTGTCGTCGTTGCAGCGATTGGACACGGGCCACTACCCGAATGCTTCTCGAGCTAGTAATTATCACGAGCCCAAATCGAGTACCCGCGCAATGCTCGGGTCCAATCTATAAACCGCATTCAAATATCGTCATTGGGGTGTACTGCGATCCCCACGTTACGCCATTAAATTTTCCAAAGGAGAGATTGAATCAGAATGATCGTTTTTGTCCTTGAAATTACACCGCAACAAAGGACTTTCTTGGCCAGTGGCGTTGAAGCTCGTGTAAGGTGAAAAACATTCCAGTTGAATATTGTTGCACCGCTCCTTTGATAAGACGCAGTGGCCGCAAACTGTTTTTTTTTTTTTCTTAGACGTTTTGTGATCGCGCATCTAAGATACTGAGATATGCTTGTATTCGAACACGGCACGTACAAAATCGAACGTTAGAGCGCCACGTAGGTGGTGCAGCCAACATAACATGGTCGCGTCTTGAGGACGCGCTCGTGCCCCCTGCCCCAGAACAACGAGTCTATTCTACAGGTTTTCCCGCTCATTTTAGTCCAAGCGACGGCCAATTTAATCCAAGTGCCATCAAATTTAATCCAAGCGCCACATAATTTAATCCTTGCGCTATCCAATTTATTCCCGGGGTCAGTCAATTTAATCCACAATATATATATGCACTTATTGTCTTCGGCGGTCGTGTTTGCTTACACATTTGGTAACTTAGAATAATTTTTTATACAATTATATTTTTTGGGGGACAACTGATCATTTGATCCCTATTGCGATTACTTGGAGTTACTCGTACCACTATTGACGAGGCTTAGTTGATGTGTTGATTACTCTTTTTGTAATATTAAGTTATTGTGGCGCGCTCGAATTTATACTAGCTGAATGGACGTTTTGTTTAACCTTTCTTATTATTCGACTTAACATTGCTACACTTCAGATGATACAAGTACAATTGCAATTTATGATTACTCTTTTGATTACGTCGTTTTATTATTGCTCCAATTGATTTATAATGAACTCAGTTCACGTTATTATTCCTCTTTTCATTACTTTGGGTTACTTTTGACCCATTGGCCATAAATTCGAATTAAATGGCATTGTGATGACCCTTCATTACTTTTAGCTAATCTTCAAAGAATTTAATTTTTATGTGATGATTATTGACATTATGATTACTCTATTGATTACTTCGAGTTACTCTCAATTCAAAAGACTTTACTTTGGCCTAAGTGACATTTGGCAACTCTTGTTCACTTTGTGTAATTATAGTGTCAATTATCGGTGGTGAGCTCAATCATTCATTATTATTAGTCTTGATGACTCAATGTTACTTTCGATCCGAAGGACTTTAATTTGGCCTCATTGATATTGCGGTGGCGGTTTTGATTTTTTGGGCTAATATTTAACAGAAGTATTTATTATTAGCTCAATTGACATCACAATTACTTGTTTGATTACTTTGACTGGACTTTAATTCGGCCTAACTGACATTTTGGCTACTCTCTTGATTACTTCGTGTTATTATACCTTCAATTGATATGTAATGAACTCAGTTGACATTATTATTACTCTTTTGATTACTTTGAGTTACTCTTAACTCAGTGGACTTGAATTCGACCGAAATGTCATTGGGATGACTCTTTGATTACTTTGAGCTTATCTTCATACAAACTTATTTGTTATGAGCCAAATGTATGCTATGATTACTCTTCTGATTACTTTGAGTACCTTAACCCAATGGATTTGTCCTATTTCACAATTTGGTAACTCTTCTGATTACTTTGAGGTCACATTCAACCAACTGGTCTTTTAAGAGCTCGATTCACATTTTTATTACTCTTTTGTCCCAATTATTCCTGATTCGGCTTGATTGACATTGCAATGAGACTTGATTAGTTTCTGCTAATTTTCAACGGATTGATTTATTGTGGGCATAATTGGCATGATGATGATGATTTTATTGACTATTAACCAAATGGGCTTTGAATCCCCCTAATTAACATATTGGTGAGAGTTTTAAGTACCTGGAGTCATTGCGTTACCAATTCATCTATTATGAGCTCAAGTTTCATTGCAATTACTCTTGATTATTTCCAGTTACTATTGACCCAACGAACGTTCATTCGGGTTAATGGACAGTTTGATTATTCTTGATTACTTTGAGCTAATATCGAACCAATTGCGTTCTTATGAGCAAAATTTGCATTATGATTACCCTCTAAAATGGTTTGAGCTACTATTGGACCCAATATTTTGATTCCTTTGGGTCATTATACAGCCAATAATTATATGCTATATTGATGATTTTATTACTTTTTCGATTACTTATAGTTACTTTTGAGTTACTTTATACTTCACTTCAATTGCCCCGGACACCAGAGGGCAGCATCGGACCAGAAATGGCTAGGTGGCGTAAGCTACCTTCCGATCCAAAGGGCTCAGCCGGATTCATCCATTCATCCATCCATCCATCCTTCCAGTGAGCCCTTCTCCTTGTCCGAGGTTCCGAGGTAAACGATCTCTGATTCGGATATTAACAGAAAAAATGTAGAGTCCTTTCACAGGCACTTCACGTGAAGATGGGAGACCAGCGAAGCTATTTTAACAACGTCTAGGACGATTCCTAGAGGACGACGTCTAGGACGACCTCAATGACGACTTCTAAGACGACGTCGAACACCACCTAGAGGACGACGTTTAGGACGACATCGAGGACGGCGCCTATGACGATCTCAAGGACGACGTCTAGGACGACCTCGAGGGTGACGTCTAGGACGACCTCGTGGACGACGCGTATGACGATCTTAAGTGCGACGTCTAGGACGACTTCAAGGACAATCTCTAGGACAATTTCTAGGACGGCCTCACGGACGACGTCTGGGACGACCTCAAGAACGACGTTTGGGACGATCTTAAGGACGACGTCTAGGACGACCTCAAGAACGACGTCTAGGACGACTTCTAAAACGACCTTGAGGACAACATCTAGAAAATGTCGTCCTCGAGCTTCTTTTAGAAGTTGCCCTTGAGGTCGCCCTTGACGTCGTCCTTGAGGTCGCCCCAACCGTCGTCCTTGAGGTCGTCCTAGACGTCTTCCTTGAGATTGTCCTAGACGTCATTCTTAAGGTCGTCCGAGAGGTTATCCTTGAGGTCGTCCTAAACGCATCCTTGAGGTCGTCTTACACCGTCGTCCTCAAGGCTGTCCTCCAGATCGTCCTAGAAGTCGTCCTTGAGGTTGTCTTAGCCATTGTCCCTGAGGTCGTCCTAAACGTCGTCCTCTAGGCGTTGTCCTCGAGGTCGTCCCAAAAGTCATCCTTCAAGTCGTCTTAGGCGTCATCCTTGGGGTCGTCCTACACGTCGTCCTCCAGGCATCATCATTGAAGTCGTTCCAGAAGTCAATAAGTGCGTATACATATTGTGGATTAAATTGACTGACCCCGGGATTAAATTAGGTAGCGCAAGGATTAAATTATTGTTTAGCTTTACTTTACTTATTTTGTAGGAAACAACGATGGGTTGCGCGACCATGCAGGCCCGTAGGTCACCGTTGAGGGGGGAGGGGGAGGGGGAGAAAAGGATATAAGAAGAGAAGAAATGAAGAAAATGAAAAAGAGAGTGTGACAGTCATAGTGTCGTCATCGTTGTCGTGTATGGATCAGGCGTATCATGGGCTGCAGTGCAATTGTTCGCCTAGGCGGAGGAAAAGCCGGACTGTCCCTGCGTATGGCGACTAGCACTCGGGAGTGAGGTTCTATGTCCATCTTCCTAGGCGGTTAGACCATCCTGGAACGTCAGTAGTGTCGCTATATTATGTCGCATAGCCGCGTGCGACTCAAGAATTTGGCTAGCGCTGTTAGCATTCTTTCCGCCTTGGCAGCTGTTGCTGTGGGCCTAATCAGCGCTTCCAGGGTGTCACTAGGGCATCCGAGGGCGGAGTAGGTTTGTCTTAGTTCGTCTCGCTCTTGTTTGTACAGGGGGCACACACATAGAAGATGCTCGTCGTCGGCGGTCACCCTACATTTACCGCATGCATCATCTCGGTGGTCCTTCCATTTTCCCAGGTATGCGGGAGTGA